TGTGCTGGAGCCAACGCTTTACCACTCGAGCACGTCTCAAAACTGCAGCAATATGTTTTTCTACTTCGAGTCGCCTTGGCTCGGCTGTTGGATATTCTGAAAGCTAATGGAACTCTCCCGCGATCCAAAGATGACAACGATAATAACGGGTACGGTACAGGCGATGGTCAGGGAAGTGACCCGAGGTCAAGAGGAGGAGACTCACAGTCACGTGGACCCGGTGGCAGCAAACGAGAGTCGTCTTATGAGAACACTCTTAATGATGTACGCAGGCTACGCAGTACGCGACTGGATAGACACCTGTCGTCTAGTGCTCGACAAGCCCGAAGTTCTCGAGTAATGGACACTGATGGCAAAGGGCCTCGCCCAGGTTCGTCTGGCGATGCTGGGCAAGGCCACGGTGCACAAGGCTCGACCGACATTATGTTTGGACAAAATGATGGTATCACTTTGGATGATATCTCAAGGATAGTTGCTGTCGAACAGTCTCGAGATCTGCAGCAGAAAGCACCACAGCCCTTTCAAGATCGAGCGCTAGATGCATCTTCTTCGAACCAGGGTCATCTGCGGACGCAGTCAGCCGACCGAGAGCGCGCCGAAACAGTGCAAGAGCGAATTGGGCGAAGATTTTTCTCTGAACTCTCTGGTCTCGAGTACTTCAACGTTCGCCATCTTGCCGTTCTCACCATGCAGCCCATGATTGAGCAAGAATTCTCACTCGAAGAACTACTGAGCTTCATTGAGTCGCGTAAACAGGGGGCGAGTATCTGGAAGAATATCGGAAAAGCCTTTAAGAATGATAAGAACAAGAACGTCAAGAAGAAGGGTGTGTTCGGTGTACCTCTCGAGATAATCATCGAAAGGGATGGTGCGGAATCGACAGACGGTGTTGGTCCGGGCACGCTTCGAATCCCAGCTGTTATCGATGACATTGTATCGTCGATGCGAAAGATGGATCTCTCGGTTGAGGGCGTGTTCCGAAAGAATGGCAACATCAAGAAGCAGCAAGGCCTGGTGGATACCATCAACGCTGAAGGTTGTGACGTGGTCAACTTTATGGAACAGCCCGTCGTTCAGCTTGCTGCGCTTCTCAAACGTTACCTGCGAGATCTACCAGATCCGCTCATGACTCACAAGCTATACAGGCTATGGATCAGTGCAGCCAAGATTTCGGACCCTGAGAAGAGAAAGCGGTGCCTGCACTTGACCTGCTGTCTCTTACCAAAGAGCCACCGAGACTGTCTTGAGATTCTGTTCAGTTTCCTGAAGTGGGCCGGAACGTTTCACCAGCTGGATGAAGACCTTGGTTCTAAGATGGATACGAGAAATCTTGCCACTGTCATTGCGCCCAATATCCTAACAAATCCCAACAGGGCACCTGCCTTGGATAGCGAGGCTATGTACGTTATTGACGCCGTGGAAATGATGATTACACATATCGAGGAAATGTGCCAGGTAAGAATCGGCCTTCTTTAGGGCTGTGGCCATTATGTTGACCTTTTCTAGGTTCCGGATGAGATCCTTGGCCTCATGAACGACCCTTATATCTTTACCAACAGTGGAGACCTCACGACGAAGGATATTCTGAAGCGATTCCAAGATCGACGGGGACAGATTTCTATTGCTGATGTGAACGAGGTCTACAACCGTCAGGATAACTCCACCCGACCACCAGCTCGGCGAGTAGAAACTGACCCAGCAGTTTGGCAGGGTGAAGCCACTGTTCGCACGATACAAGACCCTTCAATGCCTAACCCCAACAATGGGCATGGAACTCCCCCGGCGCGGTTCCGAGGACGTAACGATCTGGGCAATGCATCGCCTTATGGGGTCAACCAGTTCAACCAGTCGGACAGTCAGCTCGATAGCGCCGAGCACAGCAGGAGGCGAGAATGGCGTAACTCTGGTATGGGACGTCAAGGCAGCGGACTTGGTGTGTCCGGCAACTCATGATACTTGTCTTTTACAATGATATTCTTGATTACAGCTGGGCCCGGAAACGCCCAGCGTCAAGCTTCGTTTCGTTATTCTACATGCAGTTCAGGAGGTATGATTTGGGAGTAGAGAGTTATTTGCATAGTCGACGGCGTTCCTCTTCGCTTCTTCCTCAGGCTTATATATGCTACCTATATCAGAGCATACAACTGTCGAACAAACAGGAAAAGAGCATTTTACCAATCACAAAACCCTTGGCATTCATCGTTTTCTACACCACACGACACGACAAACCTGGTAGTTTTCTTTTTCTTTCTTCTAGGAAGCTGAGATGATGATCTCGCTCCTATTACTATTCCCTTCTCGACACTCAACTTCATGTCATGTTCTCTTCGAGCTCCCATCACCTAAATAGCATGAGAGATACATGTCTGCCAATGTCATCTTCTCTTGGGTTTAGTGTTTGTTCTTTGGGCAGGGGGAGGGCTGGAGGTCAATACCTTTTTTCTTACGAAACAAAAAGGGGCTCCAAGAAAGGGTCTTGTTATGTTTTTTCTTCTTCTTCTTCTTTCTATCTACGGTGCTCTTTCTATCTTCTTCTATACCTGAGTTGGATGGAGTAAACCATGTTAGCGGGTTGATTCCCATTGGAGTGTTGAGACCGGGCAAGGCGAGGTGAAGCGAGGCGAGATCAAGATGAAGAGGGTCATTGACTCCTCGTGCAAAATAAAAAATGCATGCGTGTGTGCTGGGTCAGATGTGAGGATGCAAACTACCTTAGTTTATGTTGGCTTCATTCTGGGATCAGATGGGATCTTGGTCACGCATTTAAGTGATGACAAGCGAGATAGGAACAATAGATTATGTTCCGTTTGGATACTGACGATTGAACGACTGGACCTTGGTCTTATCTGCTTAGATACAGCTAGAATTGTTCTGTTCAAATCATGGAATCTGGCGCTATATTATGAGACACTATATTCCAACTAAACGTTAAGCTACTTTGAACAATGTCACGCTAGTGTGTCTTGTTGGGCGAGACTGAAAATGTCCTTGAAGCTGAATCTTCGTAGACTAAACGATATATAATTAAAGATATCACATATTGAATATTTATGTCGAAATATGCTGTTCGTGGCCGGATATGAAGTTTTTTACCACATTCGCCTCTCTCTGTCTCTCTCTCTCTCTTCCTTTAGATAGGAGCACCCTCTTATTCATTTCTCTCATTACTAGTAAGATTACGCCTTGGCAGCGGCAGCGGCAGCAGCCGCCTTGTCCTGCTCGAGGAACCAGTTCACGCCACGATCGATGCCCTCCTTCAAGGACCAGACAGGCTGGTAGCGCAGAGCACGCTTGGCCTTGTTGATGTTGTAGTAGCGGGTCATGCAGCTCATGATGATAGACTTGCGAGTGAGTGTGGGGGTATTTCCGAGAATGTTGGCGAGAACCTCACTGACATAGCCGATGGCGATGCCGACCTCGCGGTTGAGACCCCAATTGCCTTCTGTACCCTTATCATAGCCGGCGGCACGCCAGATGGCACGGGCAAAGTCCCAGAAGTAAACGGGTGTGTCGTTTGTGATGAAGAAAGCCTCGCCGTCGACCCGCTCATGATCAAGGGGGATAGTGGGAGAGGCAGCGGTGGCGAGGAGGAGCTGTGCAGCGAGAAGGTGGGCATGGGCGACGTTGCCGACATAGGTGAAGTCGAAGAGGTTCTCGTTGGCGCCGACTTGAATTGTGTGCTTGCCGCGCTTGTAGGCGTTGAGAATGCCTGCGAGAGTCTGGACGTCGCCTTCGCCAAAGATACCAGCGGGACGGATGGAGGTCGTGAGAAGCTTGCAGCCCTCCTGGCGGTTGGCCTTGAGAACGATCTCTTCTGCTTGTGCCTGCGGGTAGTACCTTGTTAGCGAGACAGTCTGGAACGATCTGAGTGTGGCGTGAGCAAACCTTGGTCTCTGAATAATACTCAGTCTGCGCCTCCCCGCGAATCAAAGGCCACCTCTCGTCAGCGTTGAGCAGATCAGTAACGTTGTCGCTGATGACACTGGCAGAGCTTGTGTACACAAGAACCTTGACACCCGTCTTTTGGCAGGCGTCGACAACAGCCTGTGTACCATCAACATTGACCTTCTTGAACACATCATGGCCGATATTGGGGTTGACAGCAACAGGAGAGGCTGTGTGGATGACAACGTCGGGCTTGAGCTCCTCGAATAGAGATAGAAGCCTCTCGGGGTCGGTGATGTCGCATTCTCGGTACTCGGCCTTGGGATTGCGATTGCGCTCGCATCGTAAGTCGATGCCGATAGTGGCAGTGGTTGTCCATTGCTCAAGGGCCTGGTTGACAATGTGATGGCCTAGAAAGCCATTGCCGCCAATGACGACAACTCTCCCGAGAGGACCTCTAGATTTCGTCTTTTCAGCCATCGTCAGTGGTGTGTGTCTGCTCTGCCTGCGTATGTTGTGAGAGTGCGGTAGCAGTAGGAGTCGCCCGAGGAGGTGGGAAGTGTAAGCCAGAGAGAGAGAGTCTCTAGGTTGATAATATCCTGGGGTACGGCCACTGTAGGGATAGAGCTAATTTGGTGGTGAGAGCAGGGGTCCTCTTCTGTGTGGCTGATATCTTAGGCTAATGGGAATATGGTGGGGGTTGTAGCACCTCCACAACCTTAGATGCCTACTGTAGCAACTAATCAGTGGATCAGCTCCTTAAATCTTCAGCGGCTTCATCAACTAAGCGACCTCTGTACGTCTACGGCGTGAATCGATATCGTGTGTCACGAGACTTCACTTCTCCTCCTTCTCTCTCTTTGCCTTTCCTAAATCCTCAGGAATACCATAAGCACTCATCTTGTTTCCTGTTCTCTTTTTGCCCACCTACAACTTCATTCCATATACCTTCACCCTTGTCTCACCTGGCTCGTGCTCTCTTTTACTTGCTATTTTGGACCCCTTTGGATATAAGCAACATCCAATATCGACCTTGGGAGCAACATTTCCTCTTCTCTTGGGAAACAGTGTTTTTGGGCGAGAAGAAGTCGACATGCTTTACTGGCATTCAAATCATGGCAAGGAACAGCTCGGACGGGGTAGAGATTCTTGTCCACATCACAGCACCAAGTCGAGCAACTGATGATGTTTCATATCGACAACTTGCCCAAGCTTATCTAGCCTTTGAGCCTCACGGGCGCACGCAACTACCTGTGATAGAATCGCAGACAGCTGAGAAACAACAGCGTGTGCCAGAAGGATATCAAGGAGCGCCATCGCCAAGTCAGACCAGGGTAACAACTTCGTTTGGACGATCCTTTGAGATCACATCCCAGGATCTAAGTTTCGAAGGAGCTATAGACAATCGATCATCACCATGTCTACAGCGTGAGGCATTGGCTCGGGGTGCGATCCCCTCATCAGGCCATACTGGTTTCGGGTCAGTCAACTCCTGGTGTGCGCCTGCGAGTCAAATCAGTGACTCGTATCCCATGCCCGATGCTGCGCTCTTGGACGTTTCACCGTCACGTATACTACAGAGCTACGTCCGAAGAACTCAGTCATCGCAGGAACCATATTCGTCGCCAACGGCGCATAAGAAGCGTCCTCCGGTACCAGAGTTTGGACACGGTGTTGAAATTCCCTCCTCCCTACCACCTCACAGTCAAGAAGAAACTTGGCCTCCAGGGGCCTCTGAAATCACAGATATCGTACCTACGACACCGCAAGCAGACAAAGCAGCAGTGGTTCCCATACCCTCGGCGAATACAGAGGTGATAGCCTTCGAGCATTTGGCCCCGAATATAACTCATGTTTCTGGCAGTGTGGTTAGCAGCCACTCACCAGCTCTATCCCCTCGTGCAGGGTCAGAACCCCCACTATCAAAACGATCCAAGATTGGACACTTGGAGCATGGTGATCTCGTCAGAAGCTCTAGCGATACAGGGCCAGCTCTATCAACGAGAAACTCGCAGGGAGACCAAGTCAGCAATAGCTTGGAAATCCGGCCACCATCGCCACCCGTGGGTGTTGACGACATTGATCCTGCAGATCTGATATCTGAGAAGCTCGCGAAACTCGCCCGCGATCTGTCGTCGAGATATCGTCCGACGACAAACCGCGATATCGAAGCGTTCGAACGAGGATACTGGCTTATCAACTGCAGGGGCTGGGACCCAGATGTCCGCTTTGATACTTGGGTTTTCCTCGCTAATTATCTCAAGAGTGGTTTGGCGGGTTGGGGAACCTGGTGCCGTAGAGACAAAACCCACGACTGGATACGTCTGTATTGCTGGGGCCATGTCGCGAAGCATACTTACTTACTTTTGTACCTAGCCAGTGGAAGACAGGTCAAGACAAGTGGTGCGAAGTGGTACGGAGCAGATGGTGAAGTTGCTCTGGAAATCCCGCCTTATGAGAAGCAGTGATAAGTCAGAGGACTGTTCGCACCATATTTCAGTTTGGATATTTCACTCGACTTGGCATTTTGGGCGACTTGGATATCCGTATCATAAGCGAGGCGTTTGTCGGTTCTTTTTTCCTGCTTCTTTGGTGCAGATAACGGTTGCCATCAATCATCGCAACTAGATAGAGCTGCAAAGCTTGGTCCTTTGACGTTATAAGGCGACACAGATAGACGAAACGCACGTTACACGAGCCTTTGATTATTAACTATTCCCAAGTGACTGCCAGCTCAGCTGAGTTTGGGATATGTCATGTCTTAACCAGGGCCGTCGTACCCTACACGATCCAGTACAAACACAAACAAGAACAAAAATAGACAAAAACCAGATCAGACAAAGTCCCCGTTACCATTCCCTTGACCCCCCCCAGCCCTTTATGATCAGTACCATACCATAAATAGATCATAAACACCTTGGATTCCTACACTTGCACAACAGCGATCACTCACGAAACAGTCCTTTGTACATAGAATTCCTCTCTAATCTAAGTGGAAGCCCCTCATAATCGGTTCCCTAGGCAAGTCCAGTTTCCTGGATGACCTTTGCGCGCGCGTCAAGCTTCTCGATCTCGGCCTTGTACTTGACAGATGAATCAGCGGCGCGTTGCTCATATAGGGCCTTCTCAGTAGGGGTCACGTCCTTCCAGGACTCGCCCATTTCTTTGAACTTGGTCTGGCTACTCTCAGCATGGCTTTTGTTCCAATTATCGATAAGGTAGAGGGAATAAGAGCCTGTAGGACGCAGGGGCAGACGCTCATCTGAGATTGGCTTGACAGGCTTGCCAGTTAGGAAAGCGAGGCGGCGGCGGGCTTTGTTAGCCAAGTAAATGCGCGCCGGCTCATGAGTCTCAACCCAAGCTTTATAAGTCGCGAGATTCTTCTGGCGGTTGGCAACGGCCCTGCTATGGAGTTCCTTCAACTTTGTGTTAGCTCGTTCAGGGAAGGGAGGGGGAAAGGGCGTGACGCACTTGTTGCTCGGATTCGGTCAGTTGACGGAACTTCTCAGACAGCTCAGTCATCTGCTGGGTGATTCCACCAGCTCCTGAGAGGTTCCCTTGGTTCTCGGACGTGAAAAGGGTCCAAGTGCTGGCTGGAAGCATAGCCAGCTTGTCTTTGAGCGCCCATTTCTTGAGCTCCCGGATCTCGAGCTTCTTGGCCTTCTCTGGATCAACCTCTTTCTTGGCCTTCTTGGGCTTTGGCGCAGTAGCCTTGGGGTTAGACTTCGCCTTAGTCTGGGACTTGGACTTGCTATCAGTCGCTTTAGACTTGGATTTGGTGGTGAGGGTAGCCTTCTTAGTGGTGGTGGTGGTCGTCTTCTTGGCGGCCTTCTTATCGCCGGAGGCAGGAGAGGGGGACCATGCTGAGACGGTGAAGCTTCGGATGGGGAGCGCAATCTTTGTGGCCGACTGGCGACAGAGCAATTGAGCGGCAGAGGGAGCAGAAGCAGAAAGGCGGGCTGTCTGAGCGCGATGGACGGCGGCCCGGCCCACGGAAGTGAGCATTTTGGTGATTGCTACGGTTGATTTGGAGAGAGTTGATCTGAGCGAAGCGATTTACAGTGGCGGCGGCGATTAACTGCAAGGCTGAGTTTGTGTACGGTGAGGAATTGGCCTAGTCGAGATGAGGCTGATGGTGTTGACCTAAGGTAGACAGACAGTGCCTACCTCATGTTTTGCGCTTTGCGGGCGGGCAGTTTCTAATTCCAGTGCCGGCCTTGGAAGGTGGGCAGGTGGGCAGGTGCGAGAGTGGGCTCAACTTCATGCGAGAGCTCCCTTGAGTACTAAAGTAGTGGTACGTTTGAACCGCATGCGTTATACTAGCACGCTAAGTACTCTCTACTTTCTGAGCTACAGCTCTTGCAGCTTTCCAGTTGCACCAATCATCACCCAAGGGTTGGCTTATGTAACACTCCTCCACGTTCACCTCATCCACTGGTCGCAGGCTGCCGTTGGACGCGACAGTGAGTGAGGTCAAGTCAAGTCAAGCAAGGCTGGACTAACCAACATTAGCTCTTTCAACTCCATCATCAACTCATCAACACTGAAGGCGACGAAAATTGTACTCTACAAATACCGACGGTCTTATTTCTTGACACCAGAGCAACCCAAAGACCTGCGACATTTCTCACTTCCCAATTCATTCGACTGCATAGACCATGGATCACCGTCCGCAAGCTTGGGGTCGTGTATGTGCTTTCATATATTACACCTTTAAGCATGGCCAGTTACAATAAGCTGACCCTCAATAGCCTAGAGACGATGTTTACGGTGCCTACGATGCCTCTTTCATGACCGATAATGGCCCTAAGCAAAGCACCCAACAGCCCATCGTCACTGGTACCTCCGTCATCGCAGTCAAGTTCAAGGATGGAGTTGTCATGGCTGCTGATAACCTAGGTCCGTTGTATCAGCGCCGATATCTGAATAGAAGCTAATCCTTCCCAGCGTCATACGGCTCTCTGGCCCGATTCACCGATGTTAAGCGACTCCGCTCCTTCGCCGAGTCCTCGGTCGTTGGCTTCAGCGGCGACATTTCCGATATGCAGTATCTCGACCGCCATCTCATCGACCTCTCCCTCGACGAGGCCTACACATCCCCCGACGCTCCCCGTCTCAATGCCGCAAACCTCCACCGCTACCTCGCCAAGCTGCTTTACCGCCGACGCTCCAAGTTCGACCCCCTGTGGAACCATCTCCTTGTTGCTGGCCTCGACGACGATGACAAGCCATTCCTTGCCGCTGCCGACTTACTCGGCAGTACCTACAGTGCCCCCAGTCTGGCTACGGGCTTCGGTTCCATGCTAGCCCAGCCTATCATGCGTCGTCATGTCCCCGACGAGGAGACCGCACAGAAATTGGAGAAGGAGGAGGCTATCAAGATCATCAAGGAATGTATGAAGGTTCTATACTACCGCGATGCCCGTAGTTTGGACTCTTACTCGATGGCTGTCGTCACAAAGGAAGGAGTGGAGCTCACCGATGGTCTGCAGCTCGAGGCTCAGAGCTGGGCCTTTGCCGAGAGAATTCGCGGATATGGTACTCAAACTGTCTAAATCCTGTAGCAGGTGCTGAAATGGGAGGACCGAGTGACGAACGCCAGTCACATTTTTAATCAACCAACTAGTGAGGCTGCACAAGATACAAGTCAACCCGGCTTGATTGCTGTTACTTTAGACAAGATTCAGCTGGAGCAATCATGATGATGATGATACTTGACAATGTGCAGTGAACTTCTATAAGCCATCGATGGAATTCCTTCCTCTCCCTCTCATCCAATAGCCTGGGAACAGCTCAAGACAGGGGAAACGGTAGAGTTGTAAGAACATATCACATCTCATCATTCAAGAATGTGCTTTAATATCTATACCTTGCATTTGTGTTAGTTGTGAAGCTTTTTCCAAATTTCATTCGCATGACCTTACCAAGAAGGCCACATAGAGCCACACATCATATGACCTCAATGTCTCGGGCTCCAATGAGTCAATGCTGTATATGAGAGGCACTTTTCAAGAAAATTATAGGTCAGAGGTCGAAGGCAAAGGCTCAGTGCCTCGTCTTGTGCCCGTTACGTCTAAATCTGTAGGGAGACCGGAAATTTAAAACATCAAGCTCTGAAGCAAATCATAGTTCAGTTCACTGCATAGCCAAATGCAGTCGCAGCATTCACAGTTTTCAAACGTCAACTTTATGTTCAATTTGCAAGACTTGCTATTCGTGATTACGTTGCCTAGAACTATTGTATCGTAAATAAGCCAACATGCCTATTCAGCCTCTTCTCGAGGGTTACCATCTAATACTGACCACGACCAGCCTGGTCCCTGGCCTCCCATTTATTCATTTATTTTTGCCAAACACTTTGTTCCATGCTATCCAGGTAGACAAAACACAAAATGCTTGACCAACATGTTCATTTGCAAGCCAGTGCAGTCCAAAACCCAACTCCAAATTTCATCATAAGCCTCTCGCCAGTAGCGAAGAGGAACCCAAGCAGCCGCCAAAACTCATACTGTACATCGACCATTAGTCAAAAAAACAGTAACGAGCTTACTCGACAGTGACCGACTTGGCCAAGTTGCGAGGGAAATCAACGTTGAGACCCTCGAGAACGGCAAGCCAGTATGCAATGAGCTGGAGAGGGATAACGTTGAGGAGACCCTGGAGAACGTCGACCGTCTTGGGGATCTCGATCTTCTCGGCTTCAGAAGACTTGAACTCCTCATCAGAGGGGTTGCAGATAACGATGGGCTTACCACCGCGAGCAATAACCTGCTGATAGGCGTTGAGTGACTTCTTGAACAGATCGTCACGGGTGAGGATCATGATGATGGGGAGGTTCTCGTCAACCAGAGCCAGAACACCGTGCTTCAGCTCACCGGACATGACGGCTTCGCAGTGAAGGTAGGAGATTTCCTTAATCTTGAGGGCACCCTCAAGAGCAGTGGAGAACTGGCTGCCACGTCCGAGAAGGAGGAGAGACTTCTGGTTCTTGAAGTTCTCGCAGAGCTTCTTGATGGAGGAGTCAAGCTCGAGGATGGACTTGATCTGGGCAGAGACATTGGAGAGACCCTCCATGATCTCCTCGCGGCGAGCCTTCTTGGAAGCACGGTCCTCGCTCAGGGACAGAGCAAACATGACCATGGCGATGAACTGAGAGGTGTAGGCCTTGGTGGAGGCGACACCGATCTCGGGACCGGCGTTGATGTGGACACCACAGTGTGTGAGGAGAGAAATTGAGGAGCCAACAACGTTGACGATGCCGACAGTCAGGGCACCGCGCTCCAAGCAGTAGCGGAGAGCCATGAGGGAGTCGGCAGTCTCACCAGACTGAGAGACGAAGACGCAGGTGTCGTCACGGAAGACAGGGGCCTGTCGGTCGAGGAAATCGGAAGCCAGCTCAACGGCGATGGGGATCTCAGCAAGCTCCTCAAAGACACCACGGACGGCCATGCAAGAGTGGTAAGAAGTA